TATTGGTACTTTCAGTGGTCAGATTGGATTGTCTGCAGTAGTTTTTAGTGCAGTGTTTATGAGATGCGCAATACATTGTTGTACACTTTGAACAAAGTTTCAAATGTCAAATTTCTACTGTAGATAGCGGAGTACAGCGAGGATGGATCACTTATGTTGGAAGAAAATGAAATGGGTAAATACTCTTGTTTTAGTAGATGTGCCAAATGGCTATTGAAGTGTGACACTATACATTTCTTTTAATACATTGTTCCCGGTCTAATTTTCGGCTAAAAATCAAGATTTCAATAACATTTTAATAATAATCAATAAAATGTATATTTGAAAAGTTGATCAAAATTATAAATCTCATCAAATGTATAGTTAAAAACGAGTTTTAAAAACTAGAACCAAACAGAATTATGGTAGCATGTGTCTGCTGATCAATGAGTAGATTTATTGTCGATAATTAGGTTGGTTTATCAAGTTCAAATATGATTTAGCTAGTTTTCAATGCTCGATTGGGAGTTGACTTTTATCCTCGAAAATCTACACAATGCGTGTCCAAATTACAATTTTTTTCATTTGAAAATTATAAATTGCATTTTGAATGCAATATCGTGTTTAAACTCACTCTCGTCAAATTTTAAAAATTAACATTATTAAACTCAAATAAAGAAATTGACCTTATTTTAGTCGTATTCATCTGTTTTACAAGCGACTATTGTTATGTCCCCGTTTGATCTACATTATTATCTCATTAAAATGAAAAATATGATTGTTATTCATCACATCAACATTTAAATTCAAATTTTCTATCTCTTATGTGAGTACCAATAACGACTATATTTTTCATTTTTATTTTAGAATAATTTGGCTCAAACATGGCCAAATTATTCTAAAATATTGCAACCTGATATTCGAAAATATTGCAACCTGATAATTTAGCATTTTCTTTGGACTTTTGAATTCCATACCTTACTCCATAGTATTTTTATCCACTAAGGTTCCATTTGATTGTACGGATGGAAAATAGATGAAAAGAAAATGAATTTCAGGAAAAGTAATTGTCTAAAAATTATTTTGTAGGGAATTGTTAATTTAATGTGTTTGATTCCACTCGAAAAATTTTTAAATTTTGTGTTCGTTTGGCTTTATTTTACATGAAAATTGTCTATTAAAGTGATAGTTTTTTCCACAATTGGTTATAAAATTTGTTCCATTGCCAAAAAGTAAAAAAAAAAATCATTTTTTAATCAAAGTTTAGTATTCGTTTGACTTTATTTTATATGAAAATTATCTATTAAAGTGAATTTTTTTTACAATT